ACCTCTATATACACTGTCAAGTATGTGTGGCAGGACACAGATCCAGGGTAAGACACCTCTATATACACTGTCAAGAATGTGTGGCAGGACACAGATCCAGGGTAAGACACCTCTATATACACTGTCAAGAATGTGTGGCAGGACACAGATCCAGGGTAAGACACCTCTATATACACTGTCAAGTATGTGTGGCAGGACACAGATCCTGGGTAAGACACCTCTATATACACTGTCAAGTATGTGTGGCAGGACACAGATCCTGGGTAAGACACCTCTATATACACTGTCAAGTATGTGTGGCAGGAAACAGACCTCGGTTCTATTTACACTGGCGAGCAAATGTATCACGCCTCAGACCCAGGGTAAGGCACTTTTATTTATTCTGGCGTGTAGTTGTGGCAGGACACCGACCCAGGGTAAGACACCTCTATTTAGTCTGGCGGGTAGTTGTGGCAGGAAACAGACCCTAGGATAAGACACCTCTATTTACACTGGCGGGTATTTCTGGCAAGATTCAGACCCATGGTAAGACACCTCTATTCATTCTGGCGGGTAGTTGCGGCAGGAGTCTGACACGTATATATACACTGTCAAGTATATGTGGAAGGTTTCAGACCCCGGGTAAGACACTTCTATTTAGTCTGGCGGGTAGTTGTGGCAGGCATCAGACCCCAGGAAAGACACCTCTATTTACACTGGCGGGTAGTTGTGGCAGGACACCGACCCAGGGTAAGATACCTCTATTTACACTGGCGGGTAGTTGTGGCAGGACACCGACCCAGGGTAAGATACCTCTATTTACACTGGCGCGTAGTTGTGGCAGGACACAGACCAAGGGTTAAGACACCTCAGTTTACACTGGGCTAGTTGTGGCAGGACACCGACCCAGGGTAAGACACATCAGTTTACACTGAGCTAGTTGTGGCAGGACACAGACCCAGGGTAAGACACCTCTATTTACACTGGCGGGTAGTTGTGGCAGGACACCGACCCAGGGTAAGATACCTCTATTTACACTTGCGGGTAGTTGTGGCAGGACACCGACCCAGGGTAAGATACCTCTATTTACACTGGCGGGTAGTTGTGGCAGGACACCGACCCAGGGTAAGACACATCAGTTTACACTGAGCTAGTTGTGGCAGGACACCGACCCAGGGTAAGACACCTCTATTTACACTGGCGGGTAGTTGTGGCAGGACACCGACCCAGGGTAAGATACCTCTATTTACACTGGGCTAGTTGTGGCAGGACACAGATCCAGGGTTATGACACCTCAATGTATGTGCACATATGGAAATTATTTCACAATTTGCTTAGCGCTTCCACAGCATTTGAACATGTGACCCATAAGTTTTCAGATATTGTGTGAAGCACGCGTTTCCAATGTGTATTGTAGCATGCTGGCGTGTTTGGTGCCTCTGCCTGATTGAATTCGTTGTCGGTAGGTAGTGGTAGCTCATACGAGGCTGTAGTTAACTTATCGAAATGGTGTGTGTGTGTGTGTGTGTGTGTGTGTGTGTGTGTGTGTGTGTGTGTGTGTGTGTGTGTGTGTGTGTGTGTGTGGGTGTGAGTGTGTGTGTGTGTGTGAGTGAGTGTGTGTGTGTGTGGGAGAGTGAATGTGAGTGTGTGAGTGAGAGAGAGAGTGTGTGTGAGTGAGTGTGTGAGAGAGTGTGAGTGTGAGTGTGTGTGTGAGAGAGAGAGAGAGAGAGAGAGAGAGAGAGAGAGAGAGAGTGTGTGTGTGTGTGTGTGTGTGTGTGTGTGACTATCCCCCGAGGCTACCTACGGTAGTTGTTGAAAACGTTCTGATGTTATCATGTGAAGCTACGGTTGAATGGAGACGTCGCAAGGTTCTATGACGTTGTGTATAATACAATGCATTTGTTTCATTTGACGTCAGACACATCTTCACATACGAAAGAGTTGGCTAGTTCTCTGTTATTTCGCCGCATTGTTGCAATGAAAGACACTCAAACAACTTACAAAGAGGATAAACGTATCACCTGTGATAGATTTGAACCTTTAAATAATCTCCCATCGATATCAGCTTACCAAAACATAATTACATATAATTTGATCTCACTGAAATTGAGGTATGATTCTTGTAGCAGCCGGTGTTAAATCCATTTCACTCGACCTCAACATGATATCATGTTCATCACTAAATGCGCATATTAGGATAATGGAATTTGAGCAATGTTACATGTATTATTGGTTTTTAGCTTTGAGTTTAGTTGAACTACCAATACTGTTTTGGTTTTAGAGAATCCTGAAGTTGTGATCCTTTTGACTGAACGTCACTCACTTTTCACTATGGGATCCGTGTACAGATGGGATTTGTTCAAGGACACGATCACTCGACACAACCTCACATCTGCAATCACACCTACAGCAATTGACTATGACAATGTCACCAGACGAATCTACTGGACGGATATCAGCAGAGAGGAAATTTGGAGTTCCACACTTGATGGTGGAAATAACACTCTGGTTCGAAAACTGAACAATGGTTGGTGAACAGTGGTTGTTTAGACGGTGTATAATGTATCGTATTTAAGTAAAGATCCGGGTTAGAATGAACCTTCTGTAACCCATGCTCGACGACTAACGGCATCGGGTGGTCAGGCTCGCTGGCTTGGTTGACACATGTCATCGGTTCCCAATTGCGCGGATCGATGCTCATGCTGTTGATCACTGGATTGTCTGGTCCAGACTCAATTATTTACAGACCGCCGCCATATAGCTGGAATATTGCTGAGTGTGTAAGGTTAACTAACGGACGGCATCGGATGCATGTCATGATATGATAGATTGTCATCGTACCCGAACTGTTTGTCTTCATGCTCATGATGTCACTTGAATGTCTTGACGCTATTTTAACAAGCGTCAAATAGGTGGAATATTTCAAACAAACAAAGAAACGAAAGTGGTCTGACTTTTTTTGGAAAATATTTTACAGTTTCCAACCCGCAAGGCCTAACTGTTGATGGTAGAGCCGGCAAGATCTTTTACACCGACTTGGGAAATGAAGTCATTGTTAGCATCGACATGAATGGATCTAATAGTACAATCATTGCGAGTACAAATGTGAGCTTTCCCATCGGCATCGTCGCTGACAAAACAGACAGGTAACTAACTAATAATTAGTAATTTATATACTACCTGTTTCTAGTCCATGGCGCTTTTGTCAAGTAACTAACAAGTTCTTTCATCAAAATATTCATGTGTATGCAATCGTACTTACACAGTTGGCCTCTTGAAAAGAAAACGTCATACCCTGGCGTATTAGTTTGCCTGTCTTACACAGGTGGGCTAGCATAGTGCTCAAAGCGTTCGCTCGTCACGCCGAAGACCTGGGTTCGATTCCCACATGGATAAAATGTGTGAAACCCATTTCTGGTGTCACCCGCCGTGGTATTGCTGGAAGATTGCTAAACGCGGCGTAAAACTTCACTCACTCACTCCGCAGTGACATATGCTTATCGTACGAAGCGATAAAATGGATAGGGTGTCCTGGCTCAGTGAGATTGGCCTTTGGACGTTGTTCTTGGTATCAATCACTGGTTCAGTTGATACAGATTCGGATATTTACATACCGCCGTCATATAGCAGGAGTTAATCATTCAGCCATTAAAAGCCACGTTAAGTATACTGACTGCAATATCCTTCACCTTCAGAAAGCTATACTGGCTTGATCACGACACCGACATCCTTGAATCCTGCAACTATGATGGGAGCGGAAGAAAGGTACTCACATCAACTGGAGTCTATGCGCCGACTGGACTCACTATCAACGAAAAAAGTAAACACATTTTGGTCATATCATACAGTTGTGTTTCAGATCATAAAGGGACGGTGGGGTAGCATAGTGGTTAAAACGTCGCTCGTCACCTGAAGGCTCGGGTTCGATTCCCCACATGGGTACAAGGTGTGAAGCCCATTTCTGGTGTCCTCGTCGTGATATTGTAGGAATGTTGCTAAAAGCGGCGTTAAATCAAATACGCCTATTACTGATTTGCTGAACCCACACCTCACAACTGTATCGTAAACGTTATCCTCAGTGAACTTTCAACACCTCATAGCTGATGAAATTCCTGGCGATTATTTACTGGCACCGAGACTGATCATAGGGCTACAACATAGTACCCCCACTATCACTTCTCCTCCTCCAGTCATAATTCCGGAAATACCGAATTTGTGGTCTGGACCAGACAATCCAGTGATCGATTTGAGCATCGATTTTGAGATACAGTCATATATATTAACCAATTCTTACCCGGATAATATCATTATTAACTACAGAATTATGTTTGTTATCAAATTCTATAGATAAAGATTTAAAAGTTGTTCTCACGAAGTTTCATATACTTTCTCATAACCTGAAGATTCAGTACCAACGTTATAAGAAAAGTAAAGAAAGCGTTGACCGATCTGCCCTAATATGTGATAAGTGTGACAGTATGTCTGTCGAAGATGAATTTCATTTAATTTTGGGTTGTCCTTACTATATACTATTAGCAGAAATAGATTCATTCCAAAATATTTTCATCACTAACCTTCCCGAGAAAAACTACAACAACTTATGTCTTCAACAAAATAAATGTTGATATTTTGAAGGGACTCGCATTGTAGTTGAAAAGAAATCTTTATGCAAAATGATCCCCATATTTTGCATTAACATGATTTCATGTGTTATATAAACCGAATTATCATTTCTTGTACAATATAACCATTTCTACATGTTACTTTGTGTTATTAGTGTACTTATTAAAGATAACTTGTAAGCAGTAAGCATTCCACCCACACAAATTTGTATTTCAGCACAGTTTGTAATCTGGGCCACGATACCTCCAATACTGATTAAAGACTTAGTACAATTCTAACCCGGATCTTCACGGTGCCGTAATTATGATTGGTTTATCCGAACATTCAGTTGTCAAAATATCGCCCCTGTTAAATGGTTTCCAATGTCGTGATGTATCATGTTTGCATTTCTCTCTAAGCCGGACGTCTCTATTGGTGCGAATACAACGGAAACGTGTACTCTATCATGAAGGATGGCACACAAAGGAAAACACATTACAGGAACACTCGAGTCAAACCTCGCTTGATGGACATCGCTGTCTTCAACGGATTTCTCTACATCATTGATAGAACATACAGGTAATATAACTTTGGTAAAATCAATAAACTAATATTTTCACAGTGAAACGCAAAAAATGCTGAAGTTGTCATATGCTACCAAACAGGTTTCCTATGTAGATATTATTGATACGGTGGTATAGTCTATATTTATCTTGGTATATTCAGAGAACGTTGTGTTGACAAAAATGGGTATACGTAAATACTTCCAGTATACAACAAAAAAGTATAAATAAGGAATACAGAGGGATAAAACGTTTAGTTTGAGACAAGCATCAGTGCGACATACCAAAGGGGCGGTGGGGTAGCTTAGTGGTTAAAGAGTTCGCGTGATCCGCTTCCCCACATGGGTACAATGTGTGAAGCCCATTGCTGGTGTCCCCCTCTGTGATATTGCTGGAATATTGCTGAAAGCGGCGTATCTCACTCACTCACCCGCCATATCAAAGTTCGACAGATATTTCACTGCATATAGTGGAACGAGTTTGAGGAATTCTGACACATAATCTAATTCGTTTCTCACTCATTCAAAGTTAACATAGGTCTTTCAGGACCCGTGAAGATCCGGCTTAGAATTGATCTTCAGTAACCCATGCTTGTCGTAAGAGGCGACTGACGGGATCGGGTGGTAAGGCTCTCTTACTTGGTTGACACATGTCATCGTATCCAAATTGCGTAAATTCATGCTCATGATGTTGATCAGTGGATTGTCAACCTTCTTTCGACCGATGGAATGGAAGACCTCAGGAGCAGTCAAGATCGTTGAATAATGATCATTCTTAACTTTGTGTTACAGGGGCATTCGGGTGATCCCTGAAAACTTGAACTACACGCACATGGGATTACTTTCTTCGAGGTATTTCAAAACCTTGACAGGAATCCACGTCTTCTCTCCTAACTCAGGAGAAACAGGTAACATGGCTTCTTTAGGTCCTGCTCATTGAGGACAATTGGTGTCAACCTTACCCACCACCAGGATTAAATCATTCATCCGTGATTATTAATGCTTCCTAATCCGTCCTGTATAGTGATGGGTAAACGAAAATAACTCGGGCACGCCTACTTATGTTTTGGCTTGGTGGGACATACAACTGGGGTTCATTCAAGCATTTACGAGGAACTGAACATAAAAACATATTTTACGAATCACAAAATATAATGATAGTGATAGTCACTCGCATTAATGCACATTAACTCTTGCAACGCCCACGATCGAGAATCAAGAACCAATTCATACGCATGAGTTTGACCAAGCCTCTTTTCAAATGTGAGAATATATTGTCTCTGAGCTATGCTCTTGAGATCAGTCTGTCATTAAACGAGATTAATGTAATGCTAGAAAACATAGCAAAAGTTAACATTTATATCATATGCAGGTAAATATAAGTGAAGACAAAAGTCTTGGGTGCCAAGACCCCAATTAACACTGACAAGGAAAACTGATTAACTCACAATGAGCAAATAAAAGTCTGATAACTGAGACCATTCTCTGCATAGACAATCAACAATGTGTACAGGCAACCAGTTAAGTAGGCTGTGACCTTGGAAGTAACTAAGTCAATGCTTTATTGTCTTGTAGAGCCTCGGCTTGGTGAGCATTGGAGAAATGAGCACTGAGGGCCTACCCCTAGAATATGTCTCTTTGACAATTAAGATTAGGGAAAACCTGATGGAACACGACTCAATAAAAGCCTTGCATAATAAAGTCGCTTGGACGGAACAAAGTAATTCCACACTTCTAGAACATACATGCACATGACCTGAAGGGTAACAAATATACCTGAAGGGTACTTGATATAAACCTTATAATACAGTTTTCTATAGGTTACCACGGATTACCCACAGGGGTGTAGAAAATATAAACCTTGCCATTAACGTTAGCTCTGTAACACCAGAAGTAAGTTAATACAAGATCAAGCTAGCAGGGTCCCGTAAAAGCCACAGGGAACATCCAGAATCGGGTTTTATGGAATAAGGAAAACACACATTAAATTGTACACCCACAATGGAAATGTAGGTCCTAAACTGAACATACCATAAATTATCCAACTGTACCAGTAGACATTTACGACTTGACATTTGTAAGAAGGCAAAAACAACCATAAATGCATCCCAAATATCTACGTAGTATTTAATAATATCACTAATACATGAAAATCACAGTTACCATCACATCTTCAATGCATGGATAAGCTAGCCTACACATATGAGACAACTATATGTCAGAACAATGTAACTGGTTGGTGAATAAAATTCATGGGCAACAAATTCTTTAATGACTGTCAACATGACGAGTTGTGCTGACGCTTGACGGGCTGTACAGTTCGTGGGACAGGGAGGAACGAGGAAGGTGCTTTCCCTGAACCCTGAACGTCTTGTTTTCGACCCCGTGAAAATAGACGCTAAAGAATATGCACATGCACACGCCATTGTTAAACCTACCACTGCACACAATGCTATGAGGAGTGGCTAATGGCAATGGCGTATATGTAGTGTTACGGATAAAAGGATTTTCTGGCCTGGATTTCTCGAAACAAACTTAATTTTTTACTCAAATCTCAAACTGAGTTTCACAATTTGAAACAGCTGAATTTTTAATTCAACTGCATTTTCAAAATATAAAAGCCCAAACAACTTAAGTAATCTACCCACGAAACTCACATTGTCTTCTATAGTTTGAGTTTAATACCAATTTCAGTTCATTCTGTGGAATGCATTTTCCTGCGTTTCCTCAGATTTGAGTAAAAACTCGAACTTAAGTCAAAACTCAGACTTCAGTTTGTTTCGAGAAACCGGGGCCTCGTTTATTGAGTCACGCCTCATTCAGCAGTAATACTGCAATATGTAAATAATCAAATCGGATTGTAAATAATCAAATCTGGAACAGACGAATAAGATGTAATGCCACACCGCAATTTGTGGTCACAATGAAACGCAATAAACCAAGTCATGGATCCCTACAGCCTTATTGGCAGACTCTTTGATATTATGATTTGTTGTGCAGGAAGCTCGAGGGGTGGGGGTGTCAGGGGTTTCATACACAAATTTAAATGATCGCAGAAAAGGCTTGAAAAAGAAAACATCACTCAGATTGTTGAAAATAGAAACTTATCTACCACAAAAATAGTTGCTGCTAGGTATGTTTTCAATAATCAAGATCATTGCACTATATGAATATAAATTGACTTCGGTAGTTTGTGTACCTGTTCATTTTGCTGGTTACTAAACCTGTTCCGACTGATTTACCAGGGTGTCCGGACGGAAGATACGGCGCTGGTTGTACAAGTGTGTGTGGCCGGTGTGCTGGTGGCATGACCCTGTGTGAGAAAACCATGGGATCCTGCTTGGCTGGGTGTGACGCAGGTTACGATGGCAACTTCTGCACTGAGGGTAAGTCCTGTGGCAGGACTATGTTGATAGATGCCACGGGGAGGCGTCCAACAATGGTATTTTGGAAAGGATAGTGTATTACAAGCAACCACATCTGCATACAATGCAGTAACATGCCAATTCTGTTCCCACAGACAGCATATAGATGAACATGTTCATTATGATCTTCCGGACTTCCTGTCCTTTATACACCATGTGTGTTATGTTCCTCAAGCCTGCATGCCTCTAACAGATATAATGTCAGCTGTGTTCCTACATAACGCCTGTTGTTTATACTCCAATATGTAAATTATGACAGCCACGGTGACTGTTCTCAATACACCAACATGATAACCTAACAGAATGCCTGTCATCAATACACCCACATGATAACCTTACAGGCTGCCTGTTCTCAATACACCCACATGATAACCTTACAGGGAGCCTGTCCTCAATACACCAACATGATAACCTTACAGGGTACTTGTACTCAATACACCAACATGATAACCTTACAGGATGCCTGTTCTCAATACACCCACATGATAGCCTTACAGGGAACTTGTACTCAATACACCAACATGATAACCTTACAGAATGCCTGTCCTCAATACACCAACATGATAACCTTACAGGGTACATGTACTCAATACACCAACATGATAACCTTACAGGGTGCCTGTTCTCAATACACCAACATGATAACCTTACAGGGGTACATGTACTCAATACACCAACATGATAACCTTACAGGGTGCCTGTCCTCAATACACCAAGATTAAAACCTTACAGGATGCCTGTTCTCAATACACCAACATGATAACCTTACAGGATGCCTGTTCTCAAAACACTAACATTAAAACCTTACAGGGTGCCTGTCCTCAATACACCAACATGATAACCTTACAGGATGCCTGTTCTCAATACACCAACATGATAACCTTACAAGATGACTGTCCTCAAACACTAACATTAAAACCTTACAGGGTGCCTGTTCTCAATACACCAACATGATAACCTTACAGGTTGCCTGTCCTCAATACTCTAACATGATACCCTTACAAGATGCCTGTCCTCAATACATCAACATGATAACCTTACAGGGTACTTGTACTCAATACACCAACATGATAACCTTACAGGGTGCCTGTCCTCAATACACCAACATGATAACCTTACAGGGTACTTGTACTCAATACACCAACATGATAACCTTACAGAATGCCTGTCTTCAATACACCAACATGATAACCTTACAGGGTGCCTGTTCTCAATACACGAACATGATAACCATACAGGGTGCCTGACCTCAATATTCCAACAGGATAACCTTACAGGATGCCTGTGCTCAATACACCAACATGATACCCTTACAAGGTGCCTGTCTTCAATACACCAACATGATAACCTTACAGTGTGCCTGTCTTCAATACACCAACATGATAACCTTACAGGGTGCCTGTTCTAAATACACCAACATGATACCCTTACAAGATGCCTGTCCTCAATACACCAACATTAAAACCTTACAGGGTGACAGTCCTCAATACACCAACATTAAAACCTTACAGGGTGCCTGTTCCCAATACACCAACATGATAACCTTACAGGGTGCCTGTTCTCAATACACCAACATGATAACCTTACAGGGGTACATGTACTCAATACACCAACATGATAACCTTACAGGGTGCCTGGTCTCAATACACCAACATGATAACCTTACAGGGTGCCTGGTCTCAATACACCAACATGATAACCTTATAGCGTGCCTGTCTTCAATACACCAACATGATAACACTAACATGGTATCTTTACAGGTTGCCTGTTATGAATACACCAACATGATAACCTTACAGGGTGAACAGTCCTCAATACACCAACATTAAAACCTTACAGGGTGACAGTCCTCAATACACCAACATTAAAACCTTACAGGGTGCCTGTTCCCAATACACCAACATGATAACCTTACAGGGTGCCTGTTCTCAATACACCAACATGATAACCTTACAGGGGTACATGTACTCAATACACCAACATGATAACCTTATAGCGTGCCTGTCTTCAATACACCAACATGATAACACTAACATGGTATCTTTACAGGTTGCCTGTTATGAATACACGAACATGATAACCTTACAGAATGCCTGTCTTCAATACACTAACATGATAACCTTACAGGTTGCCTGTTCTCAATACACCAACATGATAACCTTACAGGGTACATGTACTCAATACACCAACATGATAACCTTACAAGATGCCTGTCCTCAATACATCAACATTAAAACCTTACAGGGTGCCTGTCCTCAATACAGCAACATGATAACCTTACAGGTACATGTACTCAATACACCAACATGATACCCTTACAAGATGCCTGTCCTCAATACATCAACATTAGAACCTTACAGGGTGACCTGTCCTCAATACACCAACATTAAAACCTTACAGGGTGCCTGCCATCAATACACCAACATGATAACCTTACAGGGTGCCTGTCCTCAATACACCAACATGATAACCTTACAGGTTGCCTGTTCTCAATACACCAACATGATAACCTTACAGGGTGCCTGTCCTCAATACACCACCATGATAACCTTACAGGGTACATGTACTCAATACACCCACATGACAACCTTACACGTTGCCTGTTCTCAATACACCAACATGATAACCTTACAGGGTGACAGTCCTCAATACACCAACATTATAAACTTACAGGGTTCATGTACTCAATACACCAACATGATAACCTTACAGGGTGCATGTACTCAATACACCCACGTGACAACCTTACAGGGTGCCTGTCCTCAATACACCACCATGATAACCTTACAGGGTACATGTACTCAATACACCCACATGACAACCTTACACGTTGCCTGTTCTCAATACCCCAACATGATAACCTTACAGGGTACATGTACTCAATACACCAACATGATAAACTTACAGGGTTCATGTACTCAATACACCAACATGATAACCTTAGAGGGTACTTGTACTCAGTACACCAACATGATAACCTTACAGGGTTCATGTACTCAATACACCAACATGATAACCTTACAGGGTTCATGTACTCAATACACCAACATGATAACATTACAGGGTGCCTGTCTTCAATACACGAACATGATAACCTTGCAGGGTGCCTGTCTTCAATACACCAACATGATAACCTTACAGGGTGCCTGTTCTAAACACACCAACATGATACCCTTACAAGATGCCTGTCCTCAATACACTAACTTTAAAACCTTACAGGGTGCCTGTACTCAATACACCAACATGATAACCTTACAGGGTGCCTGTTCTCAATACACCAACATGATAACCTTACAGGGGTACATGTACTCAATACACCAACATGATAACCTTACAGGGTGCCGTCCTCAATACACCAAGATTAAAACCTTACAGGATGCCTGTTCTCAATACACCAACATGATAACCTTACGGGATGCCTGTTCCCAATACACCAACATGATAACCTTACAAGATGCCTGTCCTCAATACATTAACTTTAAAACCTTACAGGGTGCCTGTACTCAATACACCAACATGATAACCTTACAGGGTGCCTGTTCTCAATACACCAACATGATAACCTTTACAGGGTACATGTACTCAATACACCAACATGATAACCTTACAGGGTGCCTGTCCTCAATACACCAAGATTAAAACCTTACAGGATGCCTGTACTCAATACACCAACATGATAACCTTACAGGGTGCCTGTTCTCAATACACCAACATGATAACCTTACAGGGGTACATGTACTCAATACACCAACATGATAACCTTACAGGGTGCCTGTCCTCAATACACCAAGATTAAAACCTTACAGGATGCCTGTTCTCAATACACCAACATGATAACCTTACAGGATGCCTGTTCTCAATACACCAACATGATACCCCTTACAAGATGCCTGTCCTCAATACATCAACATTGAACCTTACAGGGTGACAGTCCTCAATACACCAACATTAAAACCTTACAGGGTGCCTGACATCAATACACCAACATGATAACCTTACAGGATGCCTGTTCCCAATACACCAACATGATAACATATCAGGGTGCCTGTCCTCAATACACCAACATGATAACCTTACAGGTTGCCGCTTCTCAATACACCAACATGATAACCTTACAGGGTGCATGTACTCAATACACCCACATGACAACCTTACAGGGTGCCTGTCCTCAATACATCACCATGATAACCTTACAGGGTACGTATACTCAATACACCCACATGACAACCTTACAGGTTGCCTGTTCTCAATACACCAACATGATAACCTTATAGCGTGCCTGTCTTCAATACACCAACATGATAACACTAACATGGTATCTTTACAGGTTGCCTGTTACTGAATACACCAACATGATAACCTAACAGAATGCCTCTCTTCAATACACTAACACCAATACTAATACACCAACATTAGAACCTTTACAGGGTGAAAGTCCTCAATACACCAACATTAAAACCTTACAGGGTGCCTGTTCCCAATACACCAACATGATAAACCTTACAGGGTGCCTGTTCTCAATACACCAACATGATAACCTTACAGGGGTACATGTACTCAATACACCAACATGATAACCTTATAGCGTGCCTGTCTTCAATACACCAACATGATAACACTAACATGGTATCTTTACAGGTTGCCTGTTATGAATACACGAACATGATAACCTTACAGAATGCCTGTCTTCAATACACTAACATGATAACCTTACAGGTTGCCTGTTCTCAATACACCAACATGATAACCTTACAGGGGTACATGTACTCAATACACCAACATGATACCCTTACAAGATGCCTGTCCTCAATACACTAACATTAAAACCTTACAGGGTGCCTGTCCTCAATACAGCAACATGATAACCTTACAGGGGTACATGTACTCAATACACCAACATGATACCCTTACAAGATGCCTGTCCTCAATACATCAACATTAGAACCTTACAGGGTGACAGT